TGACAGCAACTGTTTAATATTTTTTTTGTATACACACACACACACTCACATACATACATACATACATACATACATACATACATACATACATACATACATACATACATACATACATACATACATACATACATACGTACATACATACATACATACATACATACATACATACATACATACACACACACACACACACACATAAATACATACATACATACATACTTTTTATAAAATGGTGGAAGATGATTGATGGTGATGATGATAAAAAATTTCTAATAACTTAAGCGTTCGATCGGCAAGAAGCAAATTATTTTCTAATATTTTTTAATCATCGTCGTCGTCGTCATCTCCTATAATGATGATGATGATGATGATGACGATGATGATGACGATGATGATGACGATGATGATGACGATGATGATGATGACGATGATGACGATGATGATGACGATGATGATGACGATGATGATGATGACGATGATGACGATGATGATGACGATGATGATGACGATGATGATGACGATGATGATTATACAGAATACAATTTTTTCCATCAAGCATTTGTTCGACAGACTCGCCTTTTTATATTACCTTAAATTTTTTTTCATCATCATCGTCGTCGTCGTCATCATTCTTGTTTGTATTTCTACCACTATTATTATTATTATTATTATTATTATTATTATTATTATTTTCTCATTATTATTGTTATTGCTATTTTGGTTGTTTTGTCTGTACTAAAAACAATTTTTTTTTCATCAAACTTAGGCGATTACTTAGGAATTCATGTATACATACGATAATTCTCTCTTTTTTTATCCCCCCCTCTCTCTCTGTTTTGTTTCTCACTTTTTCCCTCTCCTCTCTCTCTCTTTCTATATTATTCTTTCTCTCTTTCTCGCTTTCTCATACGTACGTATATCTTTTTTTCTCTATATATCTAGAAATATACATATGAATATTGTTCAAAAACGTTATACGTAAACTTGCACAAATAATATTTTTCTTTCTTTCTGCCTCTCTCTCTTTCTCTTTCTCTCTCTCTCTCTCTCTCTCTCTCTCTCTCTCTCTTTATGAAATGCCTAAGAAGAATGGATGGATTATTGCTATTGTTAATTTTGTTTGCACTTTCAGTATTCATACCTGGATAAATAGAGATGATGTTGTTGTTGTTGTTGTTGATGTTGATGTTGTTGTTGTTGTTGTTGTTGTTGATGTTGCTGTTGTTGTTTATGATGATGATAATGATGGTATTGATAATGATTTCAATGATGATGATGCCGCTAAAGTATTTCAGTTTGTATATTTATGTATTTTGTATAAATTCAAGCATGTTTGTATGTGTATACATCTGCGTGGATGTGTACATCTTTGTGTCTCGCCTTGATTCGTTTCGTTAAAAAAGATCGAAGGAATGATTCGGCGTAAAAATTGAATTCGAAATATTTGTTTGTCCGTAATAAAAAAAAAATAATATAAATTGGTTTTCTTAAACACATGTATTTAAAATACATACAATACATACATACATACATGCATACATATATACATACATACATACATACATACATACATACATACATACATACATACATACATACATACATACATACATACATACATACATACATACATACATACATACATACATACATAAATACATACATACATACATACATACATACATACATACATACATACATACATACATACATACATACATACATACATACATACACACATACATACATACATACATACATACATACATACATACATACATACATACATACATACATACATACATACAAACAAACAAACATATGTATATATATATAGCCGGCTGAAACGCTCTGAGTAGATTTTTGCATCACGTGCATAACCAGTTCATATCTATTTATTTATTTCTTTTATTACATATATTTTATGAAATTTTAGTTTAAAAATATGAATAATAATAAATAAAAAAATTATGATCTTGTTATAATAATATTATTAATTTTATTAATAAGATTATTTATAATTATCATTAATACTGGTTTCATGCTTTATTAAATTATAAATATGTGTTGTTGGATGTTAAATTTATTAGTATTTTAAAATGGTAGAAATAATAATAAATAATATTAATATAATAATAATAAAAAATAAAATAAATAAATAAAAATAATAATAATATTAATGGTAAATGGTAGAAATAATAATAAATAATATTAATTTGTTGTTATTATTATTATTATTCTTATCTATTATAATGTTATTAAAATTAAAATTAATTTCATAAATTCACTAACTATGTTGTGGATAATATAACTGATTAAATTTTGCAGTTCGTAGAATGGACTTTTTTCATTAAGTACGATGTTATAATTATGACATAATTATAATAAATTATGACGTTATTATAATTAATTATAATATAATTATGACGTAATCATCACGTGTTTAAAATACCAGAGAAGTAATAGTAGTCTTATTGCTAATTGCATATATACTATCTTGGGTAATGTTTGTTGTAGTGGTAGGAATAGGTTTACCTTTACCAAAACGAGTAAGTTATGTGGGATGAATGTTTCACTAAGTATTTGGGAAAAACTATTATCAGTTTGATTGGAGTTTGCCTGTTTGTATGACTGTCTGTCTGTTTGTTGGTTCGCTTGCTTTTAGGATTGTTCGTTTGTTTGTTCATATGTTCGTTCACACGTGCATTCATTCATTCATTCATTCATTCATTCATTCATTGATATTGTTCTTTCATTGGTTTGTTTGTTCACTCGTTCGTTCGCTTAATATTTAATCCACACACACGCACACACACGCACACTCACAAACACCCAAACACACACACACACACACACACATACACACACACACACACACACACACGTACAGACACACATACGCCCAGACACAAACAAACCCACAAACACAAACAGATATTTGTATTAATTATTATTAGCATGGCTCTCACAATAATTAACAAATAACTTGTTAATCAAAAAATGTTGGTTTTTATGATAATGACGACGACGACGATGATGATAATGATAATAATGATGATGATGTAGACGTCCTTTTTTAAGTTAATTCAAGTTCAGAATGATGTTTGCAAGTGTATATGTGTGTGTGTGTGTAATGTTTGTTTATCAACTGAAAAATCAATTATACATACATACATACATACATACATACATACATACATACATACATACATACATACATACATACATACGTACATACATACATACATACTACTACTACTACAACCACTACTACTACTACTGCTGCTGCTGCTGATGATGATTGATGAGGATGAGGATGATGATGATGATGCTGATAAACTAATGATAATAATAATATCACCATCAAAAAATGACAG